TGGCCAAACTTTGTCTCTCATACTTCAGACATATTGTCAGGAGGGACCAGTCGCTGGAGAAGGATATCATGTTTGGTAAGGTGGAGGGTCAGAGAAAAGAGGAAGACCCCCAGTGAGATGGATTGGCCAAGTGGCAGCATTGATGGATTCAAGCATGGCAACAGTAATGAGGTTGGCCCAGGATTGGGCAGTGTTTTATTCTGCTGTGCATAATGTCACTATGAGTTAGTACTAACTTGATGGCACCTAACAGCAACAACAACAATATAGGCACAAAGTGGCTGGCTTACAAGTTTTCATGAAGGAGTTTAGTTTCAGAGTAAGCAGGAGAAAATACAATCCCCCTGAATAGTTTTCATCTTGTCTATATCAGTCTTGTGAAAAGAGATGGGGATAGGATTCTTTTGATTCAATACTGAGTCATTGTTATCATGACTAATTGTGATTTTCACAAGTGTAAAAGTAGAAATGACATAACCAAAAGGAAGGAGTAGTTAATCTTGCCTTCTAGGAACAGAGGCCCCTAGGACCAGCAAGAGGGAAGAACCTGAGCAGAACATGGGATCCTACCCAGAGGAGCAGCAACCCCAGAGATGGAGCCAACACCAGAGACAGTGAGGGCATGGAGAGATAGAGTATCTGAGGATTCTAGACTCATGGAAAGAGAAAGACTGTGTGATGAAGGACAGGAGGCTGGTTTGCAAAATACGGTCTTCTTCTTTAAAAGGTTATGTATTCCTGCATGTTTTTGTGTACATTAAAAAAAAAAAAAAGTCTTGGAATAAAAAAATAACTCATACCAAAAAAAAGTGCTATTATAAGAGGAAATGGTGCATGATCAGTAATATTGTTTTAAACTTGCACTGTGTGTGATGGCTGTGCTTGAAGATATTCCCTCTGGATGGTCCTAGGGTCCTTTGTTCCTGAAATGACAGATTAACTGCTCCCCCGTTTAGTTATACCTCTTCTACATTTACAGTTGTATGCACTTATCTTACAGAAAATCTTTTACAGTTTATTTCCACATATATCACATAAATTATTATTTTTTTTAAATTACTTTGCTTAATCTTTTATCAATCCATTTCTATCTATCTGTCTATCTGGCTATATATTTGTTGCTTTTAAGTATTGTCATATAGATCTGTCTATATGTATAACATAGGGAGAGTCCTGGTGTGGCACAGTAGGATAAGTACTCGATGACAAAGTCAGTTTGAAACACAAGGTTGGCAGTTCAAACTCACCAGCTGCTCCTTGGAAACCTTATACAAGGTTGCTATGGATTAGAACCAACTTGAGGACACTTAACAACAACAGCAATAATATACAAAGAAGAGCACAATGGCTTTATATGTTAATTACTTAGCTGCAAACCACAAGGTCTGCGGTTCAAGCCTAACAACATCTTAGGAGGAGAAAGATGAGGTTTTCTACTCCCACAAAGTTTTAAAATGTCTGTGAAACCCTGTACAGGGCTGCTGTGAGTTGGAACCAGCTCAAAGACACGTACAAACAACATAAAAATATAAGTGGGACTTCACTTAGTTCATAGAAAATAAATTATTATATTTTCATTCTATTTTTCCATGGTGTGGTGTCATAGGATTGGCATTGGACTGTGAATTACAAGATCAGTGGTTTCAAACCCACCAGCTGCTCTATGGAAACCATATACAGGGTTACAGAATCACTATGGATTGGAACCAACTGGACTGCAGTTAACAACAGTATATACATGTATACATACATATATAGAGAAAGAATCTGGCAGCACAGTGATTACACACTGCTAAATGAACAGTCAAAGATTTGAACCTGCCAGCAGCTCTCTAAACACTGGGATCTCTGTCATCCTGAGCCCTTTCCACACTGCTGCACCCACCAAAGGGATTTGCATATTGTTCCCCTGGGAGGACTTTCTCTTGCACATTTAAGATAAAAGGGCTTCTCTAATATGCCTTTTCTTGTGAAGGCTGATCAGGTCAACTTTTCAAAATGCTGTTCCCTTCTCAGCTCCTGGCCTTTTTAATGTTGTGCATCTCTGGTAAGGAGAGAAGGGAGCTGAGCTAGGAGAAGGTGGTGGGGAAAGTGAGCTGTCCCCATGTATATTCCATCCACATGTTAGATGCCCGTCTTGTTCTTCAACATAGGGCATGTGAGCTTTCATCTGTGAATGTGAGGAAGAACTGAGAAAGTAGAAAGATCTAGTCTGTTCGCTGGTAAACAGCATGGCCCAGAAAGAGATGGCAAAGGAGATGTCTAGAGACCCCTTTTGATCTCACAAGTCTCTGATTCTTTATTGTGATAGGGTTTTTGGAGTTTTGGATAAAAATTACCAAAATAAGGGCAGTAAAATGAAATAATATTTTAGTCCAAAGTAGATAACAAGAAAAAGTATTGAATATGCTTCATAATATTTGAACACAACATTGAACTTCTGTCTATGATTTTAGCAACCAGTGGGGATATTGTGATGACCCAAACTCCACTCTCCCTGGTCATCATCCCTGGAGAGCCCGCCACCATCTCCTGCAAGGCAAGTGAGAGCATGGTACATCCTGATGGAAACACCTATTTACACTGGTACCAGCAGAAGCCAGGCCAGTCTCCGCAGCAACTCATTTATCAGGTTTCCAAAAGGCCTTCTGGGGTTCCAGACAGGTTCAGTGGCAGTGGGGCAGTGTCAGATTTCACTCTGAGAATTAGCCAAGTGAAAGCTGAGGATGCTGCAGTTTATTACTGTCAGCAATATAGAAAATACCCTTCCACAGTGATACAGCCCTGCACAAAAACCTCTTTGATCAGTGTGCCCCAGCTGAACAAATGTGTGACCTGTATGGGAAGTAGACACAGGAGATTCTCTGAATCTGCTTGAAAGGCAGATGCTGAAGAACTGCAGGGGTGGGTTGCAACTGAGGACAATGGGCTGTTGGTTAATGACCCCATCAGCTGCATCAACCTTACCATCTGAGAGCCAGCAGGGTGGACAGAGGGTGTCCAAGTGCATCTGAGCAGCCACACCTACTCCAGGAAGTGTTGACCAATTAATGAGTCTTCCTCCATTCCTGATGCCACATTTTTCTTCATATAAACCAGTTTCTCAGATTATGTGCTCAGAATACAGGTTCAACAAGTATGGTGAAAGAATACAACCGTGGCACACACCTTTCTTAATTTAAACCATTAGATGTTCCCTTGTTTGAATAATTAACTCTCAGTCTATATACAGGGTCCTAATGAGCACAATTAAGTGTTCCGAAATATTCAGCTCCCCACAATGTTGTCCAAACCTTGCCATGATCCACACAATCAATAAAGCCCAGGTGAACATCTTTCTGGTACATTCAGGTATTTTCTGCATTTAACCATTAAACCATTTTGTGTTCCCTTGTTCTGTTGTTCCAACAACTGCCTCCTCTTGGTCTAGGTACAGATTCCTCTGGAGCACAATGAAGTGTTCCGGAATACTCATACTTCGCAATGTTGTCCATAGCTTGTCATGATCCAAGAATCAAAAGCCTTAGCTTAGTCAATAAAGCACAGGTAAACATCTTTCTGGTTTTGTCTGCTTTTAGCCAACTTCCATCTGATGATATCCCTCATTCTGCGACCTCTTTTGAATCCAGCTTGAACCTCTGCGATTCCTCTGTCAATATAAGGTTACAGCTGTTTTTGTGTTATCTTCAACAAAATTTTACTTGCATTGGATATTAATGATATTTTCTGATGATTCCTTCATTCCATTGGGCCACTTCTCTTTGGAATGGACACAAATATGGATCTGTTTCAGTGAGTTGGCCCTGTAATTGCCTTCCAAATTTCTTGACATAGAAGAATGAGTGCCTCCAGGGCTGCATTAGTATACTGAAAGATTTCAGTTTGTATTCTTTGCTGCACATTTCATTACAATACTTTGTCTTCTCAAGCTGTTCTTTGAATTTTTTTCTTAAGTTCTTTTACTTCCTCATTTCTTCCATTTGCTGTAGCATCTTTGGACAAGTTTCAGAGCCTCCTCTGACATCCAGTTAGGTCTTTTCTTTCTTTCTTGCCTTTTTTTCTTTTTCTTTCTTTCTTTTTTTTCAGAGTCTCCTCTGACATCCAATTTGGTCTTTTCTTTCTTGCTTGCTT